CATACGATTTAATTGTCCAATCATCTTAAGATGTGCAACCATCACCATGATCAATTTAATCAATTTTCTTCTCATACTATTGTTAGCCCCACATGTGTCCCCATCCTCCCCTGCCACAACTGTTTTTGCTTCTATAGCTCTATCTCCCCTTGATTTCACATATAGAAAACCATACAAGGCTCAAAAGGAAGCAAGCAAGCAAACAAAAATGAACAATAATGACTAAACAAAACAGAAAAATTTCAATCAAAAGAAAGAAAATACTGTAAACTGAAACAACTTTAGAAGGGGTCAAAGGGGAGATCAAATTATAATGTGTTACATTTTACCCTAACTACATCTCCCATAATCCACTTTGTAATGCTCTCTGTCTGATAGCAAATCTGATTACATCACTAGAGTATGGTCAGAGGGGATTCACTGAAGTCTTCATTCATATGGTGACCATGCGTATGGATTTTGGGGCCTCCACTGCTATCCAAAACCTTCTGCAAAGCAGGGGTTCACAATATAAGCTCTGAAAGCATTCCCTCCTTCAGAGTTGGATTTTGTTATTTACGATCTCTGAACCAAAGAGGCTGGTATGCTTCTCCCATGTGAACTTGCTTGACACCCCACCTAAACGGCTGCTGGTTTGAAGACCAGCCTTTAAATCCCAGACACTTCTTTCTGAGAGCTGGGCACCGGCTGGTTTCTTCAGCACACGCTGCTCTAGCGTGCATATCTTAGTGATCTCTGTATGAGGGCAAGCATGCAACAGGGCCACGTCATAGGAACTAATTGTTCTTAGATTGGGGCTAGAATGAAGTCTTCACTGACTTTTGCTTCCATTCAAAATTGAATAAAATAATAAAATTGTCATTAGGGATTCATGAAGTCTGTTTTTCTCATTGAATAAATGGTGTAGGGGCTACATCTGACCTTCTCTGATGTCAGTGGGGGAGGAAAATCCATTCGCACATCATCCCAAAGTGAATTCCCACGGGCAGAGATTAGATGTGCTTCCATCCTGAATCTTTCATTTACCCAACTCTGAAACCAAACTTTCCTCCCTCAGCAC